TGAGCGTCAGTCAGCTGATGGCGAAAGGCATACAATCTGGAAGCGATAGTACCACCCAGGCGTTCAAAGCTGTACCACGGGAAGGGCGGCCTCTACATCGGAAAAGGCGATCCTGAAGAACAATGTCTTCGTCCTCGACTTCGTTCCAGACCTGGGCACCGCAGACAGTGACGGGATTTTCACCTTCACATCCTGGACGCACCCGCCGGATCTCGACCCCCGACTTCAGTCCGGAAGGCTTCTGGGTATTCACATACCATTCCTGAAGCAGAACGAACATGTGCGTTAGTAACAATACAACATTCGGGAGCAGCAGAGACAACATCAGGCAGCAGCAGAAACATGCATCGGCAGCAGCAGAGACAACATCGGCAAGCAGCAACAAACATCGTCGGACAGCAGCAGAAAAGAAACAACGACATCAGTCCTCGTTGACGAAGCACCACCAACACCCGCACAGCAGCTGAATCCGACTCAACGGGAAGTCCACAGAAGCGCAAACTTCATCGCCAGCTTCTACTCCAACCTCCGACGTGTATCGACGCTCACCCTGACACCGCGCCTCCGAAGATATCTGGCACGCACGCATGGGACACCCAAGCAACACTGTGTTAAACAACACAATAAGAGCTGGAGTCCTTGACAAGGACTCATTACTACTACTCGACGGCAGAGAACTTCAACGAGCACGAGGAACTTGTCTTACCTGCCCCGAAGCCGACTTACCACATCGGCCGTTCATTCCTCATCACAACCCGAGCGCACCCGGCGTACGCACCACTCGAGAACGGTGTACAGCGATATCCTGTCAATCGGGAACCAGGACAAGTTACATACAACTACACGATCACCTTCATCGACGCCGCCACCCGTTACGTCTGGCACCTAAACCTACCTAGCCGCGTACATGGCACTGGCAGCCTCCGCTGCCTGGCTACCAGCAGCAGAGAGAGAGTCGGGCGCACAACTGAAAAGCTTCCAGTCAGACGGAGGGGGAGAATACACTTCTCAGCGATTCAAGGCTAGTAACCTGGCGGAAAGGGGAATCAAGCAGCTCCTCTCTCTTCCCTACACCCATCAGCAGCAAGGTGTGGCAGAAAGAATGAACAGGACTCTGCAGAACAGCATGCGCAAACTGTTACGTGGCATGCGGCTCTACCCAACCACAGTGGCCTGCAGCAATGGACCACGCTGTCATGCTGCACAACTTGATCATTGTCGTCGTCTTCACTTCCGAACAACGCGTCACCGCATCTGCTGTGGACAGGGAAACAGGGCAGCACAAAAATTGTACGAGTTTTCGGGTGCATGGTACAGTACCAGGACCCCCCAGAAGCACGAGCAGGACGATTTTCACAACGCGCACAGTGGGGACTACACTCGGCATCGAAAAGAACTACAACGCGTGGAAAATCTTTTGACGTCCACTCCAAGGAAACAGTAGCAGCATGGTGACGTAAAAGTAGTTATAATTATGTCTCTTCATATTCTCTGTATTCATATATATATTCTTGTATCTCTTTGCTTAGTCAACTTACTTTGCCCTCACATACTAGCGCAAGGTGGTTCAAGGACTTTACTGAAAACGCTTCCGCTACTACATCACTTTACTCAGACTTTAAACTCTACCAAAGATCCTAAAGGGCACTCAGCCCAACGTCTGAAACCCTCAGACAGCCCAATAACGTATCTGAAGGGCCTCGGTCCTGAGTCAGCTTCGGGAACTTTGGCGAGTGACTTAGTAATCGTGCCCTTACAAGTAACCGCTGAAGGTTACGTGCACACTTCCATGCATTTCTAATTCTCCCCCACATACGGTAAAACCGCGAGACAGGAGACGACTTTTGAGGCGCCCTAAAAAAAAAATCATCTGGTGAAACACAGGAACTTATCCAACCTCACATCGAAAACCTACTACCATAAGCCCCCGGATAGAAGCGCAGGCCTCGGATAAGCGCCGGCGCTTTATAAAAGGATGACGGGCGCTTATATCCGGTCCTCGATTATAAGCGCACGCCCCTAGAAAAGGATGATATGGTATAAGCGCATGTTTGTTTTTCATTTGAAACCTTTCAAATTTCAGAAACGAATTTCGCATAATCAGGGAAACGAACAACAATTTCGATTTCCCACACTCTGAACTCACTTTTTGCGCGTTCTAGTCAGCAGGTGCTTGGTAATTTTGTCAGGTGTGAAGCTGGCAGGGAATCACTCCCTGCCAAGCTGCGCGAGAATCAGATTCGCGACCCTACATGTTTTCGACTCGCATTACAATCGCAGAACGAGATATACAAGTTGGTGTAAAACAAATATATATTCTTTTTGCCATTTTATAAGCGCCGGGCGCTTATAAAATTCCTCAATTATAAGCGCACCCCCCAAAAACAGTGTTTTTTTATACCCCCAGGGGCGCTTTCTATCCGGGGGCTGACGGTAACACCCTTGTAAGGGGCCTGCTTTATTAAACCGCTGTGCAGCGGGCCGGCTGTTACTTCAGTCGCTGCCCAATTTCGACCCTTTCCTTGCATTGCCACGATCCTGCAATTCTTAAAGCCGCTCGCCCTTGCAAAGGGTCATGATGCTGCGTTGCTGCTGCGTACGAAGCTTATTCACAGGCACCAGCGAGCGATTGGATAGTGTCCCGGTCGGAATCAACAACCCAGAGGCCGCAGCTGCAACAGCAGGCTTGGTCACTCAATAAGAGTCATGATGCTGCTGCATACCAAGCTTGTTCGCAGATACCTGCGTTTCGATTTAGTCCCGGTCCGAACCAGCTGCAAAGGCAGGCTGACACACCGTCATAGCATTAGCCTCGCAACAGCAGCAGAAGCACCACCACCACTACTATCAGTAGTAGCACCAAACAGCAGCACCCTTCGGCAGCAGCACCGAACAGCGGCAGCGCAAACGCACCACAGCAGGTGCCACATCAGAATCGTAGCACCGAAGATGCCACATCAGCATCGGAGCACGGCACATGCCACATCAGCATCGCAGCACAGCAGATGCCACGTCAGCCTCTTCATACATCACCACGTCCCAATCCTCACTGAACTTCACCCTGCTCACCTGCTCACGCCTTGCGCTCCAGCTGAGGCACTGCCATCTCATCACCCTCTCGCACACCCACACCCACAGCCACACCCACACCCACACCCCACACCCATCGACTCTGCGCCCATTGCCCACACCCATGCCCATGCGTGCGCCTGTGGCTGTGCGGTGTCCCCAGCCCCTGAAACTGTGTCTGTGAGGGTCATGGTGCGCCCCATACAGTGCGCTTGCGCCCTCCACAGCAGCGGGTTGACCAGCCTCCACTGGATGGCTTTTTGAGAGCTCGGCAAAAGCGATTCCAGAAGGTGACCAGACCTCACTGGATGCTTCCCCTCTGGTCGCTGCTGCCTTTTGTGTCGCTCAGAAGTCATCTCGCCATACAGTGGCCTTGCGCCCTCCACATCAGAAGGTAATGGCGCTCCATTGAATGCTTCCCGTACGGTCGCTGCTGCTGCCCTGCCGCTGCCAACCACCACTACCAGCACCAATGCCAGAAGCACCACCAGCACCGCACTCGCAGCACCGACACTATCAGCACCAAGCGCAGCTTGCTGGGCTTCCCTTAGCGAGCACCAGTCAAGAGAACGCTCAGCAGACCGATTCACAGTCCAGTCAGAGGTCCACTCAAACATTCGCTCCTGCTGCTGCTGCTGCTGCTCCTGCTGGTCGTGCCGCTGCTGGTACTGGTCCCTGCCACTCACGCTGGCGCGCTTGCCCTGTGCGCCCAGTGAGAGGCCCACTCAGAGTGCCGTTCTGCTGCCCTTTTTCCTCAGGCACAGGTGCCTGTGTGCCTCCACTCCCCTGTTTGACTGCGCATCAGCTGACCTGCCCCTGCCCCCTGCCCATACCCCTGCCCCTGCACCTGCACCTTCCACCTGCATCTGCTGCTCTTGCCGTTCTTTGCAAGTGCCGCATGTTATCTGAGCGTGCTGCTCATGCTGCCCCCTTGCCCCTGCGACCCCTCCAATCCTCCGTATGACTGCGCCTCAACTGCACTACCCCTGCCGCTGCCCCTGCACCTCCAGCTTCTGCTCTTGCTTCATTTTTGCACGTGCCATTGCTGGTGCTGGTGCTGCCGCCCGCCGCTGCTGCTGCTGCTGCTGCTGCTGCTGCTGCTGCTGCTGTGGTGCCGATGCTGATGTTGCAGCTGCTGCTCCAGGTGTTGCCGCACCATTGGCTTTGCTCCTGCAGCAAAAGCTTGCTTATCATGCTGCTGCTCCCGCTGTCTCCTCTACCTCCTCCACCCCCTCTTGCCAGCTTCCTCCTTGCTGCCCCCCACCAAGCCTAGCCCTTGCATCCTCCGAATCCCTTCCAACCCACCCATCTCTTCCCTTCCCCCCCCCACCTCCCCTCAGCACCAGCCCCACCACATCCAACTCCCTCAAATCTACCTGCTGCTGCTCTTGCTCTTTCCTGCTCTTGCATATAGGCGACTGCCTCCCATTCCCTCGTCTCTCTCTTCAACCTTCCCCAGGTCCCACTGGCAGCTCTGGCAGTGGCAGGGTGAGCGGCATTTGAGACTTGTCTACTGCATTCCATGACTCTAGATCGTCGCAGGGCATCAGTGCGTCCCGTGACTGCTCTATCCTGGCAAGCCGAAGGCCTGCTGTATGGACAGGTACCTGAAGTGGCCTGCTGCTGCTGCTGCTGCTGCTGCTTGATAGGGTTGATAATGGTGAAGGAGGCCTATGTTGGTGCTGCTGGTGCTTGTATTGCTGCCTCATACTCGAGAAGGTATAAATACTCTAAGTGCTCTCTCTCTCGCTCTTGCCGCTGCTCTTGCTGCTGGTCATCGCACTGCTGCGTCTGCAGAAAAATAGTGCCCCTGTGCCATACAGCGCTGCCAATGCTGCTCGCTATCCAGCTGCTGAGAGAAAATGGCTGGGCCAGGATGAGCAACAGCGGCTGTTGAGCAGCTGGCCATATGAAGCCTGGCTACAGCACTGTCACTTGCTGCATCGGCCGGCTGTAGCAGGAATGGCTGTAGCAGAGGTGAGTGCAGGCATGGCAGGGCCAGGAGGAGCAACACTGGCTGTTGAGCAGCTGGCCATACTCAAGCCTGGCTGCAGCAATTTCATTTTCTGCATGGCAGGCTGTAGCATGGGCGGCTGTAGCATGGGCGGCAACAGTGGAGTGTTTTGGGAGGCTGTTTGCTGCCCATGCGCCTCAACCACAAGTGCCTGTGGCGCATCAAATGCAACAGATGCCTCACACGCAGGAGGGTGTGTGGCGGTGGAGCAGTCAGGCGAGCCAAGGCCAGAGCTTTCACACCCCGAGAAGGACGAGGAGCGGCGGCGGGCAGAGGTAGATGGGAAAGAGGACTGCGGGTTGTTGAGCATGGAGGGTGGGGAGGAATGAGGGGGTGGGGAGGAATGAGGGGGTGGGGAGGAAAGTGGCAGACATGGGAGGAGTCTGGATGGGTGACCAGGGAAAGGAGTGGAGGAGGCGGTGGGTGGGGGTAGGGAGGAGCGCGGAGCAGAGAGAGTGCGACGAAACCTGTCAGTCTGTGCTGCTGACGGGGCTGTAGGGGTTGTAGAGGCACCCTGCTGGAGCTGCTGCTGCAGCTGCATCCATTTCTGCCTCTGTAACTGTCTGTCTTCCACAGCAGCAAAAGCATCTTCATTATCTGAAGGAAAAGCACTCCCGGTTAAAGAAACGGCTGCGTTTCCGGGAACAGCAATCCTTTTCACAGTCAAAACAGGCTGTATGATTTCCTCCTCACTCCAGCTTCCTCCAGTTAAAGTCGGGGGTAGAGACTTGGAATGCGGAAAGCGGAGTCTATCACCCCGCTGCCCGCCTTTCTGCGGCAATTTCCCCTTTGCTGTGAGCTCACAAGCCATGCCAGAGTGGCTTGACTCTACCATTGCTGCTGCTGCTTCTGCTGCCTTCCCCCTTGCTCCAACTCCTGCTACTGCCCCCGCCGTCCCAGCAGCCCCGGCTCTTGCTACTGTGGGCACCTCGCCAGTACCTACTCCTCCTCCTTCAGGCACTGCCTGCAGCAGCACAGGAGGACACGCAGAGCTATACCTTGAGAGGTTCTCACTGCCGTGCCGACGCAGCACCTCAGCATCACTGCCTGCCTGTGCCGCACCCGCACACGCACCTCCTGCCTCCAGCAGCCTTGCCACCAGCCTGTCCACCTCACCACCATTCCCCCCACCATTCCCCCCACCATTCCCCCCACCATTCCCCCCACCATCCCTCCCACCATTCCCCCCACCATTCCCCCCACCATTCCCCCCACCATTCCCCCCACCATTCCCCCCACCATCCCTCCCACCATTCCCCCCACCATCCCTCCCACCATTCCCCCCACCATCCCTCCCACCATTCCCCCCACCATCCCGTCCACCATCCCCCAACCCATGCTTCCAACCATCCCCCGGCTGCTGCTGAAACGCCCCACGCGCAGACAGGTTCTCACTGCGATGCCGACGCAGCAGCCCATCACCCTTGGGAATACCCGCGCACACACCGCCCCCCTGTCTGGACCATGCCAGGCCTGGAGGGTGTGAGCTCCGCCCCTCCAGCATCCCCGCCAGCAGCCTCTCTACTGGGAACACATCACTCTCCCAAGCAATCGGCGCTTGTGCGTGCGAATCCAGCCAGGGCTGCCCTGTGCCATCCCTCCTGTCTCTCTCCCCCTGTCCCCGTCCCCTCTGTCTCTTTCCATGTCCCTCACTCTGTCTCGGTCTTTCTCTCTGCCTCGCTCCTCGCCCGAATGCCAGCCGGAAAATCCCCCAATCAGTTTTTTCGCCACCTCAGGCAACTTGAGCGCGCGAGGAGACACCACTGGCAGCTGTTGCAACCCTTTCCTTGCCATGTCTGGCAGGTGCAGGTGCTGCAGCCCCCGGGGAGACATTCGGCGCTGCAAGGACCGGCTTCTTGTAGGCTTACCCAACCCGGAAAGCGGGTCACATGTAGCAGCCACAGACGGAGGTGAGACTGCTGAAACAACACCAACAGCATCACCATCACCGTCACCGTCACCATCAGCGTTGGCAGGTTCAGACGCAGCTGCATCCGAAACACCATCACTATCAACACCAGCAGCACCACCGCCAACAGCAGCAGCAGCACCACCACCACCACCATCAGCACCACCTGCTCGCAAACCGCCCCCAAGAGCTGCCAAGGCAAAGCCAGGCAGGATTCCTTTTGGAGACTTAGGCCTCAGCATTCTTTCCCTTGGAGACCTGGGCACCACTGACCGTTCTCCAGGACACCTGCTGTCTCGCCCCCTCTGGCCTCCTGGAGACACGCTGCTGCTGCTGAGCGGTGGTCTACCACCCACAGGAGATGGGCTGCTGGGTGGTCCACCACCAGCCAGGGACGGGCTGCTGGGTGGTCTACCACCTACCAGGGACAAGCTGCTTGGTGGTCTACCACCCACTACAAGGGACGGGCTGCTGGGTGGTCTACCACCCACTGGCGATTGGCTGCCTGCACCGTGCTTCACCTGGCCTGCAGCAGCAGCAGCAGCAGCCCACTGGGTACCCGCCCCTAACCCCCTACTCTGAACCTCGTTGCTCACCCTGGCCGCACTGCTCTGGTGACTTCGAGGGGATTTTCTGCTGCTGTCACGTGCCGCGCTCTGTGCGCGCTGCTTGCCATGGTTGCTCTGCAGACTGCCAGGGGATTTGGAGCGCAGCACAGCTAGAGGACTCCAAGCTCGCGTCCCCTTCCCATGCGCACTGCTGCTGCTGTAGCCCCCACTGCTCTCAAAGCTGCTGGGGTGCCGTGCTGCCAATGCGGATGCTGACTTTGCTTCTGCTGAGATGACGTCATCGTAGTGTGAGGGTGGTGGGGGCGGAGGCAGGCTGGGGAGGCGTGACCTGAAAAAGCTCATCTTGTTGGAGCTCTTGGCACCAGTAGTAAGAGGCGAGTCTTCTCCTATCGATGGCGCTGCTGCTGATGCACCTTCTGCTGCTGCTCCACCCCCTCCTCCTTTTCCTCCCTTCCCCCGGCAGCCGCTGCTCCTGCTTCTGAAGGGTGACGACCGGCAGCAGCAGCAGCAGCAGCAGCAGTGACCGTGGCAGGTGCTACTGCTGATGACGATATTCTGCTCAGCCTTCCGCCTTTGCTCCGCCCTTCGGGAACTTTCTGAGAACTCTTTTGGAGCCTGTTGCTGCCACACCCTTGCCTGCACCCCAGAACCCCTTGCATCTCTCTCAACCCCCTCCTCATCCGCCATATCTCCATCAACCGCACCAAACCCCACTGATCCAAACCCCAGCATCTCATCCCCGTTATAAGCATCTCCAGGAACGCTCTCATCCCGCCGCTCACACGATACAGGGAGCACCAAAGCGCTCTGCCCGTCAGTGTATTTGCGCCAGCAGGCCTGCAGCACGTTGGTGGAGAACACGTCCAGATCCGGCCGCCAGGGCTCCGGCTGCACGTTGCTGTGGAGGAACAGCTGCCATGCGGCGTGCGCCTGTGCTATCACCTCCAGTGCCTTGTCCGTGCCGTAGCTGTCATCACTGGCTAACACCGCTGGGGGGTCTCCTGGAAGCAGGGCGGAACAGAGGAAGAAAACCATTCAAAGTTGGGTACGGTCCAGTCCAGGCCACGGCTCCGGCTGCACGTTGCTGTGGAGAAACAGCTGCCATGCCGCGTGCACCTGTGCTATCACCTCCAGAGCCTTGTCCGCGCCGTAGCTGTCGTCACTGGCTAGTAACGCTGGGGGGGCGCCTGGAAGCAGGGCGGAACAGACGAATAAGTGGTTCGAATTTAGACTTCAGGTTCCGACCAGATGTGGCTGTGGAGGAAGATCGTACGGATCTGAAGTGGATCGTACGGGAAAAATGGACGTACATTTGTACTTGGTGAGTGGCGATCAGACAGAATCGTCAACCTCCAAACTATCCCATCACAAACAAGGAGCCTCACCAGGCTCAGTGGAGTCGCAAACCGTCAGCCAATGCATGACGGATTCCATTGTTCCCGGGAGCAGCGCGTACACGTCATCAACGTGATTCATCAGGCTCGCCAACAAGTCCCCCGCGCCAATTCCCACCACCACCCAGGCCAACCCAGCCTCGCGCACAACTGGAATCACGCCGAGCGGCTTTATCGTGTAAACCTGCCCTAAATCCGCGGGCAGACCACCCGAAACATCTATCACCTCCAAGGGACTGCCGCAACCCATCATGCCCGGAAATTCCTCGACGACTTCCTCCGGATCTTGCCACGTCTGCGGCAGCAGGCCGAGGTTCCACGTGGCGTTGTCGCAAAAGTGCGACGGTTCTCCGCGTTTCGGAGTGACGCGCAGCGGAGTGTATTCCTCCGGTGCGAATTCGTGCTTCAACCAACTTCCCGACGGCGTCGCGCAAACGCAGTTCAACCAGCTGTTTTCGCCGTACAACGGGATGTTGTGCCACGGCGAAACGATTCGATCGCGGCGATCGAGAAACATCATGCGAAAACCCAACGAACCGGGCTCGCCGAAACGCACCGCGTGCCCGCCGCTGTCCCCCTCCCCCCAAGAGAGTTCCGGCAGCTGCGGCTTTAGTCGCAACGAGTCTACACGCGGCAGTAACTGCTTGGCGGCTTCGACTCGTTTCGATGACTCCACATTCGACGGCTCCTCTAATGGCGTTTCCCGGTCCCGCGAGAGTTGCGCTTGCGCTTGCGTTTGAGGCGGCGATAGTACTGACTGCTGCTGCGGCAGCGGTTGCTGCGAGAGCAACAGCTGCTGTTGCGGCTGTGACCACGTGCGCGTGAGCCATGCTGACTGCGGCTGCTGCGCTGACAGTCTCTGGGTCGATTCCTGCTCGCGCCATTGCGCTAGCTCTGGCGGAAGAGTCGTGTCTTCCATCTGCTGTGTCTTCTGCCTCTTTCGGTTGCGTGTTGCGTGTTCACCTGTCGCCGCGCGACTCTCGACGTGCGTTTCGCAGTTTCACAGACGCAGCCGCCACGGTAAGCTCTGCGAACGACGGTCTCCCATCCCTACACGAAAGATACGTTGTCACGGGATAGCAAACCGCGATGAAGACTTCCTTTCATTTGCATTTCCTTGCAGTATTTCTTCCATCACTAGCCTTTCAAACAAGACCCACAGGAATGGTTTTCAACCGCCCGTGCCTGATGCTTGACCCCTGCTCCACCATTTGTCGCCTGAGCAGACTTCTTTGGAGCTTGCTCAACTGGAAGGCCCACAGACAAACTCTTCTCCAACACCCACAGTTGCACTCGTTCTCATTTGTGAACAGAAGTTGGAACTTGGAAGGAACGCTCGCACGCACGGTCCAAGGGTGCGTTCCTGGCTCGTGTCAAACTTCCGCCTTCCCGAAAAGACCCGAAGGTTTATGTCTAACTTCCTGTCAAACTTCGTGTCTAGGGAAAACAGAGGCGAAATTTGGCGGGAAGACCCGAAGTTGGTCTCGGATGATCCAAAGTAGAGCCAGCTTCGTGTCATCCCCGGAAGACCGGAAGTTTCACACGAGCCAGGAACGCACCCCAAGTCGAGTTGGTTTCAAGGGTCGAGTCGACCCTAGTTCAAAGGATTTGCTGGTGCAGAAATTACGCGACCTGTTTTCGCACTGAAGAATTTTTTCCGTACAGCCTTTTGCAATCGTGACAAATTGTTGGCTGTGCATGTTTGGAGGAAAAAAACCGCCAATGAAACGGAAGGAGGGTATCGTCTATCCCACGTCATTTAGGGATTTCCAGGAGAGATTTCTCCAGACTGGAAACGGTGATTTGCCGTTGCACACGTAGGCTCAATTTGCTAGCGTGGTCGGACAATTTGATGATAATTGCTCGAGTGGTCTTGCAGAGGTTTCCTCGGCTTTTTTTTTCCGGCAATTACCCAAAACCGTTTTTTAGCCCTGCTTTTTCTTACGTCGTTGTGTCTCTTCCCGCAAAAAACGTGGCGTGTGTTTTTCGCCCGATTTTTTCTGGCTGGGTGACGTGCGCGAGGGCGGCCACGTCATCGTTCTATTACACGACAATAAATCAACACGATCATGTGGCGCGAACAATCGCGCTCATTTTCG